GCCCCTCTGTACCAGAATGTAAGCCTCAGGGGAGCAAAGACTTTATCTTGCTTATCACTGTGACCCACGTACCTGTCACCGTGTAGCCACTCAATAATGAATGGTGAAAGGGGGAACTAGGGCAGGCAGGGAGGGGCAGCTCAACAGCATGTGGCACAAAGAGCAAGTAGGGGAGGGAGGATGGGATGTTTTGGAGCAGTTCTGTGAGGAATAAAGGTAGAGAGATAAAAGATTCACTGAACCACAAGCATGGGCCACAGGGGCACCAGGGACTATCCCCCAGGGGCCATGATGGGTTGAGGATGGAGGGGACTTTGGGAGAGAAGGAAACTGAAAAGTGGGAGGGAGCCAGGCTGGGGAAGAGGTACCGCCTTGATACAGAACTTGTCTTTTCCTTCTGGCCAGGCCCCCTGGGTGGTAGAGGGCAGCCGACCTCCCGCGGACTGGCCCTCACAGGGTGAAGTGGAGTTCCGAAATTTCTCAGTGCGCTATCGGCCGGGCTTGGAGCTGGTGCTGAAGAACCTGAGTCTGCGCGTGCGCAGTGGCGAGAAGGTGCGCGTGAGATGGGTTTGTGCCTGGGAAGTGGCCATGTTCCTCATGAGGGGGTGTGAGTCTCTGCGAGAGCAAGTTCTTTAGTCCACATGTCTGCTCAGCCTCTCTAGGGGTGTCCTGGAGATGTCCCCAGGACTCTTGGGCCTTCCCCTGACAGCCTCTGTCCACCTGCTGCAGGTGGGGATCGTGGGCCGCACTGGGGCTGGCAAATCGTCCATGACCCTGTGTCTGTTTCGCATCCTGGAGGCCGCAGAGGGTGAAATCCGCATTGACGACCTCAATGTGGCAGCCATTGGACTCCATGACCTGCGTTCTCAGCTGACCATCATCCCCCAGGTACAAACCTGACATGGACGGCCACACTGGCCAATGACCCTTGGGGAGCAGACCCCATCCCTGTTCTGTAGCTTGAGGTCCAAGACTGGGACTTCTATCTGGGAGGCTGGAGAATCAGAGAGCAATAGCAGAGCCATAGAGCGGCCACCTGTCGTGGATCTGGAAGGGTCAGATATACCCTGCCCCACAACCTCCTGGGCCAGCAAATCAAACCAGGAACACCAGACCCCTGAATTGCAGACCCATCCCCAGACGTTCTGTCCTGGCTTCCTTGTTTCGCAGCTCTGAATTACATTTCACTTTTTCTGGCTCCTCTGGGGTATTTTTTTTTCTGCTGACTGGACACTTTGGAGTCAGATTAGTGCTCCTGTTTCTGCTTTAGCAGAGGATTTTGTGATTGGCAAAGCTGAGGTTTATCACTTCCCCACAGGCATTTTCTATCTCCTTGGTCATTGCCTACCCCCTAAAGGGCTGGGGACAGAGTGGGAATGCTGCCACCTAAATCCTTTCTTTTTCCCTGGCCCTGGGGCCCATGGTGCCTTATAGGGTCCAAGCTGCCTCCTTCTAAGGCCTTTTTGTGTCCCCAGGACCCTGTCCTGTTCTCAGGGACCCTGCGTATGAACCTGGACCCCTTCGACAATTACTCAGAGGAAGACATATGGCGGGTCCTGGAGCTGTCTCACCTGCACACGTTTGTGGCCTCCCAGCCAGCAGGCCTGGACTTCCAGTGCTCCGAGGGAGGGGAGAATCTCAGGTAACAGCTGGGAGTAGACAAGTCAGAAACAGCACCTTTTGGAGCTAAGGGATCTAATATCAAATGACACGGAGTTGGCCAGCCCCCTCCTGCCCTCCTCACTCCCACCTCAGCCTGGGTGTACTTAGAGGGCATTGTTTTGTCTTGAACATGTTCTCTGTGCCAGACACAGTGCACTATCTCTCTGATTCCTCACGTAAGCCTCAGAGGTCCCACTTCACAGATGAGGAAACTGAGGCAGGCCCAAAGTGACGTAGCTGGAAGAAGGCATGTCTAAAACTTGAACTAGGTCTGGAAGATTCCAAAGTCTTATTCAGTCTTGTCCTTGTGGGTCGTCAATGTCTGTGGAGCAGGTGAGAGGAAACCTACAGTGCTTTAGGAAAATCATAGATATTTTCCAAGATGGATGCAAGCTCATCTGCATTTTAGCAGAGGGCAAAGTGAGCTCCCCGGGCTCTTCTGTGTTTTCTTGTAGCCCCAGATTTTATATCCCCGGCAGCTGGGCTGTGTATCAGGGAGAGCTGAGAGCCACTTCTCACTGAGTCTAAAGGCTTGAGAGTCCCATACTCATGTTAGCTCTGTGATTTGGGGCAAGTTGATTAACCTCTCTGTGCCTCCTTTTCCTTCACTCTAAAATGGGAATAATAATAGTCCCATACCTCTTGCACTCTGCTGCCCAATAAAAATATGTTAGCCATGTATGTGTAATTAATTTTTTTTTCTAGTAGCCAGGTGAAAAAGGGAAAAGAAACAGGTAAAATAAATTTTAATAGTGTATTTAGCCCAATATATAGAAAATATTATCTTCTCAACATATAATTGACATAAATGTTATTAAGGATGTTTTATATTTTTCTTACTAAGTCAGAAATCCCATGTGTATTTTTACATTTACAGCACATCCAGTTCCGACTTGCCACATTTCAAGTGCTCAGTAGCCACATGTGGCCAGTGAATACCATTTGAACAGAGCAGTCTTAGGGTCATTGTGATGAAATAGAAAGCACTCAGCCTACATACACTCCTGGAAAATTTATTCTTATTTATTCTTATTCTACTCAGTCCATACCCGTGGACTCTCTCCAGACCTCAAAAACAAAACAAAAACCTTACATTTGCTCAGCACTTAGTAGTGTTCAAAACACCTTGGCCTCCACTATCTCGTATAATCTTTACTGCAGTCCTGTGGGCCAGAAATGAGGCTCTAACATATAAAATCATTTGCCCAAAGCTGCTCAACTAGCCAGAGAAGGGACAGTTACTCAAAGAAGTGGGGGCTTTTGCCTCAAACCTTTCCTTTCTACATCATAGCCAGCGGTGGGACACCCTCTCTTCCCCCAAGCAATCCTGTAAGACTGAATATGCATCCTAACGGGATTTCACTTACACAGTGGTGTTGGGGGCGGCTGGCAGACGGGCCTAAGCTTCCAGACCCTGAACCCATAGTTGTTTTTTGGCCCATTCTCCTGTCCCTGCTTGCCATCAGCACCTTCCCCAGAGCATCCCCTCCATCCTCACTTACACCAGGATCTGAGACAGAAATCAGCTCCCTTCCTCCCTGAGCTGGTAGCCACTTTAAGTATAACCTGTATGCTGTGCCAGTCTCACCATAAATCAGCCCTGAGTTCTATCTGGCGGCTCATTCTGCTGCCAAAACCTTCATTAGTTGCGGGAATGGGCCAGGGAGAGAGCCTGGCCTTCACTCGGGCTGTGGTGACTCACCCCTTTGGGAAGGGCTGAGGTATTTGTCCTTGGGTGTGGGGGTGCTGCAGCCTCTGTGGTTGGGAACACATTCTTGCTTTGTTCACTAGCTCTGGCTTCCAAGGCAAGAGGTTGAAGGTATGCATCTGCCCCTCCTCCACCTCCCCAGTGACCAGACACCAGTTACCCCCCAGGTCCTCCTCTGCCCTGCCCCTTCCTTGTTTTCCTTGTTCCCTGGCCTTTATTGTCCATGGAGGCAGGAGAAGACTGTCCAAATTATGTGATATTAGGCTAAGCAAGATGGCATAATGTGTGCAAATATCCAGAAAGGGTGTTCTTATTAAGGTGTCAATGACTGATAGAGCATCATGGCACTCGTTGAGGAGCGAGGATGAGAGGAAAGCACAGAAAGCGGATGCCATGGTGCCAGGCTGTTGATCGCGCACAGTGTGGTCGAGCACTGGCTCTACCTCCAAGGCCCCTCATTAATCCTGTGGTGTTCAGACCCTTGACTCCGCCGACCCCTGTTTCAGGAGTCCCGGGCTGAGGCAGAAATGAAGAAGTTTGACAGAAAGCCAGTCTTGGGCCATTGGAAAGGAGTGGAGACAGAAACAGTTCGGGGGAATGAGGCCTGGGGCAGGCTTGGGGCTCCCAGCTGGAGACGTCTGCTTTCCTTTTTCTCAGTGTGGGTCAGCGACAGCTTGTGTGCCTGGCTCGAGCCCTCCTTCGCAAGAGCCGCATTCTGATTTTAGACGAGGCCACGGCCGCCATTGACCTGGAGACTGATGACCTCATCCAGGCTACCATCCGCACCCAGTTTGAGACCTGCACAGTGCTGACCATCGCACACCGGCTCAATACCATCATGGACTACACCAGGTGGGGCACCAGAACCCAAGCAGGAAGGGACCTGTGGGGTCACCTGGACCATCGGGAAGGGGCAGGCAGATTAAGGTTATCTGGAGGTAGGAGAGATGCGTAACCTTGGGTAATTCACAAACCTTTCATGAACTTCTCTCAGGGTTGTAGGAAGGAGTCAGTGACATAAAGTGTTTAAAGTGCAGGTGATCCTGGGAAATGTTAGTCTCCTCCCCGACCCCTTACTCTTATTCTCCCTAGCTCCAGTTTCTCAGAGGATTAGGGAAGGGGCCTTGCCCTCGGAACCTTACGGCTTTCTTGGGGAGGCAGCTCATGTGGGTGAAAGGAAAAATTGTGACCTGTTTCTTCATTGTACCCAATGTCAAGGTGTGGTGCTGGAGAATAAGGGGAGGGGCTGGGTGACTCAGAAGCCTCATGGAAGTGAGCTGGCGCTGGCCCAGAAGGCCGGCCTTCTTGGAGACATGGGATCTCCTGGATGCTGCCACAAATCTATGCTGAAGGAGTCCAGTGGGAGTACCTCAACAGGCCTTCATTCACAAAATAAACACCCATAGGGCATGGGAAGGCAGGGACAGTGCCACAGATAGGGCAACGGGCAACCCTTGTGTCTCTCTCAGAAGTGTTCCCACACAGGCCCCGAGGATCGGGCACCAAACCGAGAATGCTTGATGATATGGTCTGTCTGTTCCATCCCTACCCCACCCCACTCCCCACTCTCATCCAGGACCCCACCGGGAGAAGAGAAGGGAAGGTGGGCAGGAAGCACTGGGCCTTGGGTCCAGATAAGGGATAGGGCTGGGCTGAGAGGATCTGTTCTCAGGCCTAACTGAAAATGATTTTCACCAGCAGCCCTGAGGGAAGAAAACTCAAACTGACCTTGGGGATGGGGAGTTATTCATTCTGGTGGGGCTTGCAGAAATTAATCAAATAATCACTCTACTGGATGTGTAATTAGAGCCTGCAGGAAGGAAGCAGGGGTCTGTGTCGGGGGTGGCCTGAGAAAGCCAATTCACCCAGGGCGGCCAGAATACTTTCTCTCCTAAGGAAGGGAAGCGCCAGCCAGGCCCTAAAGGAGTAGGAACTGGAGAGCATGGGGAAAAAGTGGGGTAGGGAGGGAGCTGAAAATGCCAGGCAAAAGGTGCAACACATGCAAAGGCCCTGAGGTGGGAAGGCGCACGAGGCTGGAGTACAAAGGGCAACGAGGGCAGTAGAACCAAGATGAGGCGGGGAGAGGGACAGGCCCCACCATGCCGCACTTCTAGGACCATGGTGAAGCATTCGGTCCATAACCCCCAAGAGCAGTGAGAAGCCCCTGAAAGGAGGAAATGGTCTCCTGGGCTCCAATATGGGTAGTGGCTAGGCAGTGATGGCCACAGATATACTCCTTCCTAGAACACATTTCCAGGTGTCCCATAGGTGGGGAAACAGAGTACGGTCCACACCCTCCCATTGAGTGGCATCTCCCTGGGCTTGGGAGATCCCTTTCCACTCCTGCCTCACCCAGGGAGCCTGCCCTTACACCAGGTGCACCCTCTGATTAGTTGGCGGGATAATCTAATCGCAGGCCCAGGCCTGACTGTGTGTGAGGTGAGGCGGGTGGGATCCACCCATCAGCAGCAGCCAGATTGGCAACCAAAGCCCCAGATTCCAGTGTCAGGCCTCACTGCAGCCCGGTTTCCCGCCGCGTGCCTTTGTGAGTTGGCACAAAGCAGATGGAAGCACACAGGGCCCAGCGCACAAGCCCGTGGCTCCTTGCACACAGTCCTATGACCCCGGTGAGGGGAAGGCTCATTAGAGAAGGTTTTTGGAGCCCCGACTAGCAAAGATGAATAGGATTCTTGTGTTTGATCCCAGAAACTGCCTCATCTGCCAGGAGAGCAAACGGAGTGGCTAAAATTACCAGCCTTGCAAGTGTGTACATGTGGTGTAGCGGCTGTGTTGGGTGGGTTGACTGAAGTGGCAGGGTTGGCATGTCACTGCAGATCTTGAGCAGTACCCAGAAGGGCAAGGTTGGGATATGAGGCCAGGTCTGGGCTGATGGAGACCTAACCACTTCTTTTCTTTGGCTAGAGTCCTGGTCCTGGACAAAGGGACAGTAGCTGAATTTGATTCTCCAACCAACCTCATTGCAGCCAGAGGCATCTTCTACGGGATGGCCAGCGATGCTGGACTTGCCTAAAATATCTTCTTGGGATTTCTTCCTGGCCATTCCTGGTTTTCCTCAAGAAAAGGAAAAGGACACCAAATATATTTGCAGAATGGACTTAATAGCAAATGCTGGAGGCATTTGTTAGATTTTTGCCCCTGTAAAGCGCTTCACAGGATAACCATGCTAAATGCTTTAGATGAGAACATGAAGCTCAAGAGGTGCCTGACATGCCCAAGGTCACAGCTGGTTTGAGGCACAGAGCCCAGACTTGTCCCCAGGTCTCCTGAGACTCAATCTCATATTATTTCCCTGCTATACTGTTTTCAATCATTTCATGGAATGATCTCCCTACCCCCTATGATTTTTCATATTTTCTACTCTGAATATTTTTTTAAATAAAGCTTTTTCTTCCTGGAACAGAAGACTGCCAGGTCAGGCCTCCCTAAGAACTGAGTCCTGTACTCTGGAGTGCTGGCCTGAATCCATTAAAAATGGAGCACTGGTGAAATGAAGTTATGTGGTCAACAATATATACACCCTGATGTAGGCTTTTTCTGCCTGGTCACAGATGTGAGGGTTACGACATTTGGAGGAGGCAGGGACCCTGGAAGGGGGAGAAGCAGAAGTAGATTTTGTCTACATGGCTAGAATTATCTGAAGATTTTAGACCCAAGAGCCCTAGGCTGGAAATATTGTCTTCACGGCCAGAATTCACTGGGTAGTTGCCAGTAGTTCCTGATCTGCTGTGCAGATACTATAAAAAGGTGAGAAATAAAGCCCCTGAAATCTGACCCAAGGCCTCTTGGGAAAGCTGTTGTGAACACCTTCACATTTATGTCATCCCTCAGACCTCTAAGCCTGCTTCTCTAGGGGCTGAGAAATGAGTGCAAGGTGCTTAATTTCATAGCTCCTTTAGAAGTCTGTTCCCGACAGGTCCCCATAACCAGTGAGGCCTCCGAGTCATTCATCTTCCTCAGTCCGGCTGAAGCTAAATTTGGGAAGAGTACAGAGCAGCCCAGAGGCTGCCCCTGCCCTGACAGTCCCAGGCTGGTAAATGCGATGAGGGGATGAATTAAATTTGCATTCTTGAGCAAGCAAACCGTTTATTTTCTGCAGGTCAGAGTCCACCTGCACAAGGCCTTATATTTAGAATGGATCTCTTCTCTTTGTTACCTTTCTAAGTTTTCTGGTCTCCTTGACCTTTATTCTTGGTATGATGCGACCGGTTGTGGGTGACGGTTTATTGTCCCCCACCCTAAATGGTTTGCAGTAAGTGTGAAGATGGCGCCTTTGATCTGGTTTTTCTATATGCTTTGGGGTCAGTCTGTGCTGCAGGACCATTTGTTAAAGGTTAATCACATTTTTTTTGGCAGGCTCTTTCTGTCTAGGATGTTTATGAGTGTATGGAAGAAGACTTTCATCCTTGTGATAAAGCAAGTATGAAAGCACAAATGCCTAAATTATTCTGCCTCTGCTTGGTGCTAAGAAAAGGTCTCTGCTATGCTCCCTGATTTATTAGACCAATTTGGCATGACGTCTGCTTTGTGAGGCTCTAGCTGCCCTAAACCAACAAGAAACGCAGATTCATTCGGCATCATTCTTAGCTAAAGATCCAAAGAATGTAAGGCTGTATTTCCTCTCCTATCTTGGGAGTTTGCTTCTGAGCTTATTGAGGCCCTGACAGGTGTTGACAGCCCAAAGGAGAGGCTCAGTTGTGTAAAGTAAATAGGATAATCAAAAAATGTGGTTAATAGAGGATGACCTCCATCTAGCTGGCTCAGCTACTCCGGGGAAATGAAGCTGACTGCTGTGAACCAGGAGGAAAGACACCGCACAAAATATCTGTCTCCAGGTGCCACTGACAAGGCATGAGCACCAAAGCAGCAGCAGGATGCAGGAGGCTCAGGTGGGGAACAGTCCCTTCTATTCTTCCTCCAGAGCATCTTGTCCCTGGGACTGTCCAACAATTTGAACTCCCTATGATTCGAAGTAGAGCACTGTTTCAAAGGCCAAAATTAAAGAACATGGGCTCAATCAGTTAATATTTAATTTTAATAATACTTGTTATATTTGAACAGTCAGCAATGCACAAAGAAAAAATCTTCCGTGAATATTTACGCACGGTGTGAACACATGCTTTAGATACGCAGTGGAGGAGGAGGGGTGAATTCACAGTTAACAGCTTAAAAAAAATCTTTGTTATAAATTACACAAAGCATATAAAAATATTTCTCTGAATGCATAGATTAAGACTTTAAACTCACCTACCAGCAACTGTGTAGTCTTATCCTACTGCCTGCCACACATAGTAGTTACTTGACCACAGAGGACTTTATAAAGCAGGAGAGAGAACCATGTAGGGCCCATCTCTAACCTGGGACACCAAACCTCTGGCTCCCTGTTTCTTTTGCCCTGGAGCTGCTGCTCTGTAGGCCACCTCCCAGTCAAGGGCCTCTACTGCTCGAGGGTCTCTAATTGATCTGATGGCTGGAAGAGTTTTAACCTTAGTAATTTAGGCATGAATTAATATTGAATTTATTTCCTCCAGGATAGAACTAGCATCCACTTTATCAGTTAAATGTAACTTTTTTTAAAGGGAAAAAATGGTTACTACGTTTAGAGAAACTAGCTTCTGGTTCAGTGAAACACAGGGGAGGTTTCTTTAAAGTACTTTAGAGAAAGGGAATAATAAGTAACCTTTACCCTGCTATGCAAACACTGTACAAGGGTAAGTAGTCACCATCAGTAATTGGAATATGGGTAAACCACTGAACAGTGACTCCATGAAGCTGGCCGTGAGAACACCTCCAGCTCAACTCAGCATTTGGGCAGCAGCAGGAGGCTGTCATCTTAGCACCACATTCTCTTCCACTGGCATCTTCTGCACGTGCTCTCTCAGTCGTGTTCCAATAAAATTAACACAGTTAGGAAGTTAAGTTTCTTTGGAAACTAGGCACTATGGGGAAAAAGCTTCTTAAGACAACAGGGATGCTCTTCAACAGCTGGCTTCAAACCCCTGCTCTTCTAAGTGTGCTCGTTCTTATTTCTAGAGTTAAGCTGTTTGTTTCAACAAGACAGTGGCTTTTCTTTTAACATTAATGATAATGACACTGAGGAAAGGAAAAGAATCCTTGAATGCATTCTTTTAAAAAAATTCTTTGCCATGCTCAAGAGTTTAATCAGGTGTGTTTCTTTTTTACAGAACAAAGCCTGGTAGACTCACAATGGACTTCGTTAAGTGGATTAGTGCGAGTAGTGGGGGATCCCTACGATCAAACAATTTGTTTACAAAAGCAACAGATTTCAGAGTTGTGTAAAAATCCTAATAATTTCAAAATAACCTTTATCTTTGATACAAAAATAAAGATGCTAACTCCTTTAGCTCAGTTTCCCACAATAACCTTTAAAATAGCAACAGATTCAGTCTCAAAAATTGTTTTTCATTTCTAGTGGAAAAATGAAAGTGGAGAACATTGGACAGGCAATGTTTGTGCTCTTCTCTCATGGTGCAATTAAACACAGAGATGATAGAAATTGCTTCAGTTATAAAAAAAAAAGCACTTGCTCTCTTGGAAAGCATCGGAGAGCCCTCTAGTGATGGAGGGGAGTTAATGCAGAGATGACTGTCTAGGCAACAGCCCACTGGAGACAGAGAAGCAGTCATGAGTGTTTACAAAGGAAAAAATGGGGGAGGGGAAGCTCTTTTGGTTAACAGCATATTTACAATTAGGTAACTGTATTCTTAAATACTTTGAACCTGAGTAACACTTATAAATAGGTTATATGAAACCTCACAGCCATAAGTCACCTTAAACCCATTTGTTCAGTACCTGTGCTTTCACTAGTTTTCCTCTCTAGTCACTTCATGTTTTAGGAGAGTTGTGAGCATGCAACACCAAGAAAAGCGCATCCTGGCTCTTCAGGTGCACTGTCAACAGGAGTGGCTAGAAATAGGCTCTGCTCTCTCTCAGCTTCTGCTTAGACAATTCTCTTACATGCTGCACATAAAACACACTGGATAGAGAACCGTCGGCTTCTGCCTCTCCAGACCACTTCTCAGCTGTTCACGGCTTTGAGCAATAGGTTTATTGTGCACCAAGAGGCTTGGAATAGTGGCACCGCTGCTTGGGGGTCAGGGGCTTCCTACCTTGGCAGAAAGATGTTAGTGTATACTACTCAGTGGCACTAGGGCCCCTCCTGGGCATCCAAGGCATTCAGATCAATGGTTTGTCCTTGGCCCAGAGGCAACGCACACTGTCACAATACTCAGTGATAAAAGTCCCTGCTGCATTAGTAAGTCAGTTTTGAAGCTCTCCTGTTGTAGCAAGGCCTTTCAGTCAGTGTGGATGCAGCATTTCTGAATAGAAAATTATTTTCACTTATCATTAGAACCAGTTCCAGCTCTTGGAAATCTTGGAGTCGAGCAACATCTTTATCCTAAAATAAAAACAGGTTAAACAACAGGTTAAGAGGAGTCACTTGTTTCTATATGTTTGGTGCGCGGTGTTGCGCTGATACCACTATCTTGGCTCATTTCAGAGCCTAGAAACAAACAAAAAATTCTTGTGTCAGGCTGTCAGTGATAGTGCACAGAAGTCCTCAAGGGCATGAGCGGGGCTGGAATAGTGGAAGCCCTTAATAGCAGCTGCTATAGGATGAGCGCACCTTGAAGGGAGAGAGAGGCAATGCAAGAATCAGTTTTCCTCAGGTGCTCTGAGAAGCCAGAAGCCTGATGTTCAAAGAACCCAGAGATGTTGGAAAAACCACATACGTTTATGGGTTTGCCCCAGAATTTAACCCACTTCTGATAGTGCACTAAGGGCATCCTTACAGACCACTACAGAGACAACCGAAAACAGGTACATGTGAATGGTAGTTCAGAAAATTCTTTCCGATATCCTACAACTTTCAAAAATGCCAATGTCTCCACAGACTCAGGAAAGGGAAAGAAAGCTCAATGATTACATTTGGAAAACCACCTTTTGCTCCTTTTCTATTATCTCTTCATTTCGTCAACTATGACTCATACAGTGGAGGAAGAAACTAGGTATTTTCCAAATGCAAAAACCAAACAACCACTCATGCTTAACAGATCTTTCCTTACCTTTCTTACCAAAGTATTGGGTAACTTTCTGATCTTCTCCACTTGATCTGGATTAACACCCAGCTCACAGCAACTCACTCTGAGCAATTCTTGGTAGGTGAGTTCCTGTCGGTCCAGTTCAATTTCAATGAAATCATTTTCTCGAAGAGATGGGTTCTGAATCCTCACCTTGAGTACCAGCTCTAGCAAAAAAGGGAGAAATGTTAATAAATGGTTCTGGCATACTCAGCCTGTATAATTTAAGATCTTTTCCAGAAGATGGTTATATTTAATCATGCCCCATGTCGAAGACCTGTGCCACCCAATGAGAAAAACCAAGCACCATCAGCAGGGTTTGCTCAGGCTCAGTTCTGGCTCTGCTGGCATAGTTTCCTGCATTGTCTTCCTTACATCTAAGACTGTGGTTCACAAAGTAAAAAAAGCGGGCGGGGTGGGGGGGCAGGGAGGGTTTGGGGAGGTGACAACCGTCACAGCTGTATGGAAGGATCATTTACTTCTGTTGCTGGAGCTAAGGAGGTAAAGGCTAAGAATGGGTTTGGGAGTCAAACCACTCATAAGATGGGGAAGAAGAGAGGTGAAAAGGCACAGGCAAAATAGGAATACATAAGTTACTCTAAAAAGATTTAACAATTGTGGATCTAAAGGTATTTATGAAGTATGCAACTCCTTGCAATAAACACAGTAAAAGGGCAAAAACTACTAACAAAAATTAAAGTCTAACTATGATTTCAATACAGTACACCTCAATAAGGAAGGCATTTTGGCTTTGGGAGGAAACATCTTGCTGCACCAAAAAGTAAGAAAATGCTCCAAGAATATTGGGACATGTCCAAGGGACATAAGAACTGGCTTGAAGACGCTCCCTCTGGGCAAATACGGCATAATCTGAATATCGAAATGGATCATAACCCCATGAATAAAATAAGAAAGTACGAGTTCACACCGTTATGAATGGAGGAGAAGGGAAAGACTTTATAGTAGAATGCCAACTAATAAATAGAGAAAGAATGACAGGAAATCATATTCTACAAAATAATTGGCCTGGACTCTTGAAAAATATTGAGATCCAAAATGATAGAGAAAGATTGAGGAAACATTCCAGATTAAAGAAAACTAAAACAACATAACTAAATGTAATGGGTAACCCTGGGCAGAGGGCAGGGTGGAAGGAGTAAAGATAGCTATAAAAGCCATTGTAGAGACAACAGACAAAATTTAAATATGGACTATGGATTAGAGGATCCATTATAAATCAAGATTACATTTCCTAAATTGATAACTGTACTGTGTATAATTATGTAAGAGACTATCCTTGTTCTTAGGAAATACACATTTAAATAGTTCAGGGTAAAAGGGCAAAAGGTAAACAATTTGTGAATCTGAATAAAGAGAGTTCCTGCTACTTTTCTGTAAATCTGTAATTATGCTCAAAATAAATAAATAAATATATAACCCCCCCGCCCCACATAAACAGGAAGTAAAGCACTAGACCTCTGGATATTGTCTGCCCCTTTGTGGAGGCTGTTTGCTGACAAGGGGTTACCTTGCATATTAAATGGAAATGCTCCAGTGAAGAAAAATGGCTGGAATGCTGGCGTTGGTCCTGTGTGCGTCCCATTTTGAGGCTCCAGAGACACTGGTGGCTTGGATGAGACAGAAGAGAAGAGTGAGCGACTCTGACTCACTGGTGGCTGACAAACAGGACCCGGTTTTGTGCTTTCTGGTGTTCTGAGTATAGCAGCGGGGGCAGACACATCCCCGTTCTGAACCAGTGCCAAAGAGGTGTGGTCCCGTGGAAAGGCCCCAGAGGGCAGCAATGGAGGCTCGCCATCTGCAGGGGGTGATGCAGGAGGTGTGGAGGGGCCCCCATTCTGCAGCGGGGCTGAATCCTCTGCCACAGAGGTGTAGATAAAAGGGAAAGCTGGGTTGGCCAGATAGTTGGGAACAAAGGGTGGTTCTGACTCCTTGAGCTGGGGGAGGTTGCCGTCATCATCATCATCTTCCACTTAAAAAGAAGAAAACACAGAACCTTTACATAGCCCTTTAAAGATTACCAAGAAGAGTGTCTTGTAAAAGCTAGTGTCCTTTGGTATATGACAAATACTTTTCTCAATGTTTAGTGCCTCTTCAAGTCAGAAAAGTAAAGACTATTCCATTAGATTTATGATTACCATTTTTATTGTCTTAAATTTTACAGATAAAAAAATTAAAACCTATAATGCCTATCTTTCTAGAAACGACATGGAATTCCTATCTTGGCATAGTAACGCAGTCTTTGCTTTTAGACATAGACTGGTTGTTTGAATGGCATCAAGAATGTAGCCAATAATAACAAATTTTAAATTAGTTTGACAAAATCAAAAGTTGCCCCAAAACACAGACTTACCTCCCATAATCCTCCTGATTTCTCTCCTTGATGTTAACTGGACTGGCATTTCTCCCTTTGAGGTAAGAATCTCTTTGTCAGCTCCTGATTTTAACAAGTAAGTGACCACCTGACCATGATTGCGTTTACATGCCCAGTGTAAACAGGTCCTGTTCCAAAGAAAAAGAAAAAAAAAAAAGAAAGAAAGAAAGAAAAAACGATTTAAAAAGAAGAGAGGTGATTTGGGATTTCAAATTCTACACATTAGTAAATAAATACATGTAAGAGTTCAGCTAGAACCAGGAAACCGGCTGGTAATCTCAACTTTTCTTTTCAGAAAGCAGATGATCGAAACATTTAGTATGCTTAAAATTTATTTTTAAATTTCATTTCTGGCCCTTGGGAGAAACTAATTTATCCCAAGAGCTTTAATTTCAATGGCTTCCAGAAGGCTGGCAGGCTGGCTGGTGGGATAACTCTAATGGTATTGCTGAGTGTTACGCTGTCAGTATCACTCATTAGATTGCCCCAGTCTCTTTAAAATGTATCTTTATATTGCCATATTCCTTTTCAGGGACTATGGAAACTTGCTTCATATGCATCAAATATCACTTGAAGATTAAATATTATCAAGCAAATAACCATCTCCTATCTACAGGCTTGCTCTGCCACTAAAATTATTACTACAGCAGATATTCCTGTCTGAATCTCAGTAGCTCGCTCTCTTTTCCTCTACTTTTCTTTTGCACGCACACAAAAGGCCTTCCAAATTTCCATTTTTAAAAAAGTTGGCTTCTCTAGTTCTCTCCAGAAGGCTACAAACATAGCCTCATCTGCTTAAATGTAAAGCACTGCACACAGACTTCAATTCTTGAGGCACTTTAAAAATGGACATCAACCACCAAAATTTTCGAGAATTCTTCTAACATACTAGACTCATTTAAGTAAAACTAATTATTTAATATTGTGCACATAGGAAGGGATTATGCATACTCTGAAGGGCTATTATTTTAACACTGCATAGAAATATAATTAGCATGCCAGAAAAAAACTCCATCTTAACAGAAATGGAAGGATTCAGAGCTACTAAATTCATCCCCAGTTGCCAAAGCTGAATGATATTCTGGAAGGAAAACCCTCTTTCCTGCTCTGTTTTGAAATGCCCTCCTTTACCAACTCTCTAATTGAACTGAGATAAATATCTTCAGTGCTTATAGCCAAACAAAGATATGGTAAAGAACAGAACATATGTGAGGATTAGGTCACTAACTTGGGAAATATAATCTCTAGAAAGTTCATTTGGTTCCAGGAAAAAGCTGATTTTACCCTGGGCACCTTAACATTAATGACTTATGGAAAGCTAGCTCATCTGGCTGGCTGGGAGCAACTCCACTGATGCTTCGGAGTGACATTACACAATATTACTCATTAGAATTAGATTATTCAGGTGCCTGAAAGGTGCACTCTATGAAGAGATGACTGCCAATTTGGGAAATATAAGAGTCTTGAACTAGACTTCTACAACATAAGTTCCATGAAGATAAGGAAGTATCTGCTTGTACATACAGGTGCTTAATTAATATTTCTGAATGAGTGAACCAGGAACAAGGTAGATGTTGCTAGAAGTAGAAGATCTAATGCATCCTTCACTCTGGGCAAACTGCAGCCGAGAGTGTGTTTCTGTGTGGATGTCTGTGACATAGGCTTGAAAAGTGAATAATTATAATAAGCAAGCACTCGAAAATGAATGGAACATGATGAGAAAAAAATATGTTCCCTTTTGGAAATAAAGTGCTCACTTGCTAGTTGTAAATTAGGACAAACTTGTTCACGACAAGCTTTAGAGTGAAGGAGGTAATTTACTGCCAGTGGGTCTGAGAGACTCTGGGACAAACCAACTAGCTAAAGTATCATCATGTAAAGTGGGGTTAAGTCAACACGGCTCGCACCCCACAGCCTAGAGCCCTGAGTGATCATTTACAGTCCAGACTTGTGTGGCTCTGGGCAGTCATAACTCAGAGCCACTGCAGCCAGGCAATATTTTCAACTTCTTCACAAGCCATTATATTTGCTCCTTAAAGCCAAGGGGGTATGCATGACACTTAAATTACAACTGATGTGGGAGTTCTATATTTGAACTTCAACTCTTTAAGCTTTAAATTTGCAGTCAGAATCTCCTATTAGCGCTGGAAAGTATTTCAGACATCATTCATCAGTGCTGAAGTTGTGATTATCAAGCAACTAAAAACTGAAAGCAGTAACCACTCTGCTTTTCTATACCACAGAGTAAGTTTTTTGAGGGTAATCTTTATATCCCATTATCCAGCACACTGCTTAATAAAATAAACACAGATATAGTGCTTTACATGCTGGACATTGGTCTAAAAGCGTTACATATATTAACTTATTTAATCCTCTAAACAACCTAGGAGTTAAATACCATTATCAACATTCCTCCATTTCACAGATAAGGAAACCGAGGCAGTCAGCAAATAAACAAGCAAAACAAACAGCATGCTTGGTGGTTATTAAGTATTGTTATTAAGTGTTATAGAGACAATAAAGCAAGGAAAGGAATTAGGGGATGCCAGGAGCAGAGGAAGGGCATGGTGCAATTCTAAATTGAGGGCCAAGGAGAATCTCACCAAGGTGATAACTAAGCTAATACCTGAAAGAAGTGAAGGAGCAAAAGCATTTTAGATGGAGAGAGAAAACACAAAGGCCTTGAATTAGGTCTGTGCCCTGGTGTTTCAGGAAAAGCAAGGAGCAAGATGAAGAAAGCAAGGGTCGAATCCAGAGGTGAGGCACAGACGTAAGGAGGGAGAATCAGGGGACAGCGAGTAGAAACTGTAGGACTCTGGGCTCTTACTCAGAGTGAGATGGCAGCCACTAGAGGGTTTTGAGCCGTATGAAATGATCTGACTTTAGTCTTAAGTTAGTATCCCTCTGGCTGCTGCATTGTAAAAAGACTAGGGTATAAGAGTAGAAGCAAGGAGACTAATTAGGAGGCTACTGCAGTAATCCAGGTGACAGAATGATGGCAGCTCTGTACGACAGGCATAGTAGCAGAGCCAGTGAGAAATGGTCAGATTCCAACTGTAGCTAGGTGGAGCTGGCAGAATTAGCCAATTGACTGGATTTGGGGTGTGAGAAAAAGAAAGGAGGCAGAAAGGACACCGAGGGTTCTGGCCTGAGCACCCTCAGAGGCTGAGATGAGGAGGGTGGGGAGGAGGAGGCTTGGGGCAATTAGGGGGATGAGAGGAGACCAGGAATTCAACCTTTCACATGTTGAATTTGAGGTGTCTTTTAGACGTCAGCCCCAAATAAATCTATGAGAAGCTTCTTCAGGTTACTTCAGATTCACTTCACATTAACTGAGCACTGCTGAAGAGCAAAATTCAACTGAGTAAATTTGAAGATCTAATTAGCTTTATTAAACGATTCATGAATCCAGTAGCATCTCACCTAGCAAAAAGAAGGGAGCTCTGAAGAGCTGTGCAAAACAGGTTTTTATAGGCAGAAACTGGGTAGGACAAGAGTTATTAGCATAAGACAAGAAAGGTTCCTTTTTTTTCAGGCGAGTATACTTTTCTTTGGGGGAAGGGCAGCAGGGTCTTATCAGGCAGATTACCTCACTAGTGTAGATTGGGAAATTCCAGACTGATTGGCCAGAATGGGAGGGGCTGAAACTGCAATTGATTCTAGGTTTGCTGTCCTTGGGGCCTGGGGCCTGGGGCCTGTTGTTCCTTTTTTTTAACAGAACCTACTCTGTGGCCGATATTATGGTTAGGAAAGTGGGGTGTGGAGTCAGATGCTGGATTTGTTTCCCAGCTCCTAGGTACTGTAAATTCTGAGACCTTGAGAAAATTATTTCATCTTTCTGGGCCTCAGTCTTTTTATCTGTAAAATGGAGAAAATAACAATAGCTATGTCCCAGAGTAGTTGCGAATGAGATAATACCCATAAAATACTTAGAATCTTGTTTGTGCTACTGAGCAAGCTCAATAAATGTTGGCTATTTAAATTATGCTTAGCTTGTTGGATGCTCACAACACTTTTGAAATAATTGGAAAATGAAGTGACTCTAGTTAGAGTTCAGATAACTAGGCAGGAATGGAGAATCTGTAGGAAAGACAGACCAGGCTCATTCTTCTATACAACACTGCCTCCCAGCGCCAGAACAGCGATTCACAGCTTGTGAGCTAGGAAGCAATGCTCAGGAAAGGTACGCACAGAACAGAAAGCTTGTTCGTAAACACCTTTAAACAAAACAAAACAGCATTATCTACTGTTTCCTGGCTTTCTCAAAAGTTACCCAGGTTGTTTTCTTTAAGGTAAGGAGGTAGATAAATTTGTGAGGAGTCAAAGAACTGTGCTTCTGGTCTCGACTATCCTAGTAATAGTTGTGTTGAATAGATGGGTTGAACCCATCTCCAATGTCCCTTTCAGTTCTAAATGATTCCACTTAAAAAAAAATAAAACAATTGCAAACTCACTTTTACTCTAAGCTAGCAAAGTAGACTGGATCAAATAAAAAAATTAAATGTGAAGAAGGCAGAATAATACCACATTCAGTAACAACACCAAAAATTTGACCACCAGCGCATCTTAAAAAGAGACTCCTTATTTAATTGGGAAGGACTCAGCCGCAAGCAGGCATCTAAAGCCTTGGATCTAGAGAATAAACGAATGAGTCGTCCCTCAACAGGCAGCTATAGGCGGCAGCAACCATTGCTGCAGTGAGACAACAGAGAAGCAGAACAGTGAAGCAAGTGATTTTTTTTTTTCTGGTCTTGGGGAAAGAAACTGTGCTAGTTTATAAGATTCATATTTGTTCAGTTGCTTATGTGTTTTGCTCTGCACAGATGTGTTCTTCAGAAGCACCTATGGCAAAATAATTCAACACTGGAACTGGGATGAGCTCCATATTAGCCAGGAGATTCGGGGACCGCGGGGGCCCCAGGGGTAGGGTGGGCACTAACTCCGGAGGACCACGTGGGTCAGGATTTAGGTAGGCCGCGCCCCAGACTATACCAGGCAGGGGGGCCAGGGTTGGCCTCAAGAGCGCAGAACCTCGGAGGGCCCAGGCGCCAAGTCACACCTTATCTGGTGTCGCCGAGGTCGCCGGCGACCGCCCCGCATCGGGGCGGGCTGCTCTGACCCTGGGCCTCCCCCGCTCCCCACTTACCAGCCGTTGACCTCATTTTGGGAGTTCACATCCACCCCGCTCTCCACCAGTTTCTGCACCTCCCGAATGTCCCCCAAGGCCGCGGCCTCCCGCAGCCTCTCCTGCTGCTCCTTCTGCTCTAGGAG